CCCCAAAACCCCAAAACCCCAAAACCCCAAAACCCCTTAGAAGAGTCCAAAGATTGGGATTTAATATAGTTATAACTTTAGGTTAAATAAAAATGAACTCGTATTTGGAATCTAATCCTCAAAGTTTCGTGAATGATGATAATAGTACTTCTCAGACTCATGCGTATGATTATAACAATCAATGAGATGACTCTGATCTCATAGCTGCTCAGGAGAGCATCCAATTGGCTACGATAATATTGGTAAATTTCGAATTCCATACAAAATTTGGAATGACTGACGTCAAGATTACAAAACAAGCAGAAAAGGGTTACAAAGGAATATTAGGGTTGTACAACAAAAAAGTTCAGAAGATCTCACAAGAAATAGATGCAGCCTTTTGCAACCCTTGCAAAGAGGAATTTGAAAATTTAAAGAAAGAAGCTCATAACTTGCTGAAATCCCTCGAAGCTGAACCTCTGGTGGTCCAATCAATGTTAAGCCAAGCCAAGAGTCAGATATACTCTCGCTTGCTCCAAGTATGTCCAAGCTTTGTTAAGGATATATCTCTCAGAGTTTTTATGACTAAAAGTCCATCTGAGAAAGACCAAATTTTATTTCAAAGCTAACTTAATGTACAGACTACAGACATCGAACAGCAGAAGGAAAGATTTGCCTATGAATGTTCCCAACAGAAAGAGCAAGTTACTGAAGTAGCTAGAAGATTGAGTAAGAATATCAGCCCTTCATGGCTGCTGCCTTAGCCCATTCTTATGTTTAGAACTCGACCCAAAGGATATGCTGCAACCAGCCGAATGGATGATCAAAGAAGGTGAGTCTAGAGATTATCTCTATTTTTTTCAGCCAGATCTGTTCCTATTAGTAAACTCGTTCTACGTTGGCTCGGATTGCTCTAGAAACATGCACTCATGTTGGCTTCAAAATCGGAGGTAGCTCTATGGATCCTTACTCTAAAGGGCCAAATGAGAAATTCTTTCGGAATTCATAAAGCTTTCTTGAGAATTATTATGTTTAACCTGAGTTCACTGACTATCCTGCTTGTGAACTTTTGAGCAGACTAGATTAACAAGAGAGTCCTCTATTTTGAGTTAAGTAAAATCTTAATTTACCAAGTTAAAATGGCCTCTAGGGAAAAATTTAAAGAAAAGAGTCAATATGATGGACCCTTATGTTTAAATATGTTAATCCTATTTATCTTTTTTCATCAATGGCATTCCTACTTTAACGAAATGCCCTAATAACCCCTTTTGCTTGACTCGAATATAAAATAGAATATTTGTTATGACTCGTCCTCATCGTATCTCAGACCATTTGACTACTAGCATCACCTAATTTGACACGATGCTTTAGTCATTCAATTTATGAGTCCAAACATAAAATTTCATTAAACTTCCGATTAAAGTCTTCTAACCGGTTCTAATCTATAAGTGTAGCCTCTCCGGCCTTTTCTAAAAAGACAGAATCCACTCGTGCTTCAGAGGAAGAAAATAAAGAAGAAAGTAAGTCATACAAGGCTAAGGAAAAATAACTAAGAGAATCCTCACTGGAATAAAACTTAAGACACTCTAAAGAGATAAGAGAATATTTCGCCATTATAATTTTCTTTTATTAAGCTTTGAAGTTTAAGGAATAAAATAGATATTAAGACCATGTCTTACATACTCTTGTAGAACTTGTTAGGTTTATTAACAAAAAGTTATGCTATTTGTTCCAAAATTTTATACTAGTTCTTAACTCTTCCAACTCTTATCAAATCTAAATCTAGCATATCAAAACACTCTTAACTCTCTATAGCCTTCTTCTACAACCACTCCTCTACCCAATCAGACGGACCTCTCACTGAACACGACACTACCTCCAATGACCTCGACTTTTCATTCCCATCGACCGTTCCGCCTTCTCTCAACTCCTCTATATCTATCCCTCCTACAGATCTCTCTGTATTCCACCCTAATTCCTCTCCTAAGAAAGCCGCCAGCCAGCCTGCTGGCGACAAGAAGGAGACAACAGAAGTCGACCCGAGAGATAAGGAACAAGATGTACATGAACTGAAGGTCGGCATAGTGAAGAGCTACAGTGTAACAGAGGAAGAGAAGGAACAGATCTTCTGGCTTATGGAGAAATGAGAGAAGAGGGTAGGAGCACTAAGGTTAGACAATGTGCCGGTGGATAGTGGGCTAGTGAAGGGATTTTTGAGGGAAAGGTTTCCAGAATATGTACGAGGACTGTACTTTAACGATAATTCAGGTGAGGAGACAGGGTGTTTGGAAGTTTAAGTGATAGAAAAAGAAGGTTGATGAATAAATAAAAGTTTGTATTTTTTAAATTAGCTCAAAAAGTTCTCTTTGTCTAAATACATCTTCCATTAAGCCAAAGATCTTATACAAGATATTAATCCTTTTTAGGCTCTTTGAAATCTATTGAGGAGTACATTAACGAACTCTTATACGTCAGTACCAAAGTTAAGCACAGAATATTTGTCTACAAGTAAGGTAACCAACTTATGAATAGCTATATAATCAATCAGGAGAACTTTAAAAATATCCTGTCTGAAAACAGGCATAAAGAAAGGATTGGGTTTCCATTCTGTAAAATAGATTGCTCAACAGTCCCTGATCTCAAAGATGCTCTTGAAGGGACCATAATTGAGCAAATCTCATTTAAAGGTTGTGGTATATCAGCTAGATGTAATTGGGGGAGAAATCCTCATCACTTTATTAACCTAATCCAGGGACTAGCATCTTCTAAAGACTTAAAAGATTCTTTACATACTATCTGGTTGCCTATGTCATTTCTATCCTTTGGAATAGTAAGAGAGACTCTTAACAACAATGGATTTGGCAAGGTCAAGATTGGGGAGAACTCTCTATAATTCTTGGCTAAAATCAATTCAAATTGATAAAATTCTTGAAAAATACGGGATTTTTACTATTTAAATGGTCTGCATGTTTATCGATTAGCCATTTTGTATAATATTTACATTCAATGAGTAATCCTCCTTTCGGGGTTTTGGGGTTTTGGGGTTTTGGGGTTTTGGGG